GCATTTTGCTGCTATCATTCTGCTTCTTTTAGCTTGTAGCTAGCATTTTGCTGCTATCATTCTGCTTCTTTTAGCAACAATTCCAACTTGGAGTTTTGGCTTGTGTTTGTTAGCTTCAGCCAACGTTAACTTTACTAGCGTTTTGATGCTATTATGAGTTTCTTTTAGCTTTTATTATTTTAGCTTTTAATGTTTTGCCACTTTAAGCTTTTGTGAATTAACATGTTACTACTTATATTTGTTTTTATTCTAATTTAATTACCATTAAAATTAAGTACCCATTTAGCTTTTAGTTAGCATTTTGCTCCTTTTAGCTTTTAGCTACTGTTTTGCTCCTCTCAGATTGTTCTGTTTGTTTTATCTTAACACATTTATTCTCTCAACATTCAAACTTCCGAGTTTCTCTAATTGTTTTTATTATTATTTGTCTTAAATGATCCTGGATTGTAAAATGCACAAATGATCAGCTTAACAGAAGAGAATCAAAAATCGGTTGTTTAAACTACAAGACGAACAGGACCAACCGAAGAGGAACCAGGAGAAGAAGATGAGCAGCAGGCCGATGAAGACCAGGGTCCAGACGGCTGGACGAGAAGAACCCGGACAGAGGAGCTTCGGCAGAAAAAACACGGCTGTGGTCAGCAGAGTCCAGATCCCGAGCACCATCACGTAGACTGGGATGAGTGGTGCAACTGGACACTCGTAGAAGTAGACGGCTCCTGTTGACGAGCACCCATCAGAAAACTCATCACAGAGCCTTATTTACCAACACGAGTGGGTCGAAATCAACAAAACAACAACAAATTTTTAAATTAAAAATGAATGTTTGAAGACTTTAACTTCCCGATTTGACTTTAACATCCGGTTCAAAACTCCTGTTTTAAAAAGACCTGCCTGACAGTTTAGAGAGGAAAATTAATGGCACTAAAGTCAACAAAAATTACACTTTTGACTTTAAAATGTACTAATTTATAGTTCTAACGAGGAGGACCGGCAAGAGCACACACGATGCACATCATCACAAGTTCATGTGAAAGTCAGAGCTTTGGAGACTTGGAGTCGTGCAGTCTGACTGGTGTCGGCACCAAACCATCGAGGACGACAAACGTTCAGTCACAGATTGGAAAAAGACATTTTAACAGATTTTAATCTGAATTAAAGTCCAGTTCGAATGATTTAACTGAAATTAACTGGCATGTGCTGACCACTCTCTCCTACACCGAGTAAAATATTCTCCGAACATTTCATATCCGAGGCACCGAGAGGAATCGATTCTCCTGTAAAACTGGGAGGAAAAGGTAATCATCAATCTTCACTTTGCTGAAGACGTAGAACTCATAACTGGTTCTACCAAAGATCAAACCAGTCAAAAGAACCCGGACTCTTTGAGCCGTCGTCATCTCATGGAGAGAAACCCACTGAACCCGTCACAATGGACAGCAAGGGGACAGAAGTGGACAAAGTTGGAGACCTTGGGTCTTTGCTCATGTCAGAGGCGAACAAAGAGGTCAAGACAAGGACAGACGAACCTGCCGGTGTCCTCACAAGACTTGTGTGAAAGGACAGATCGGTGTCTCTGGCTACCAACGCTAGACTCCTGCGTCCGTTTGTCGTATCGTTCACCAGGTTTTAAACATCTGAATAAAAAGGTTTTAGGTTTGAAAAGGCCCAGATCAGTGATGGAGGACCAGTCCTGAGGTAGATGGTTCCAGAGTCTGGTCCGGTCACTCCAACATTTGAAACTTTGGGACAAACAGTAAAGAAGTATTAGTTGATCTAAAGGTAAACAGGGCTGACGTGCTCACGTCTGGGGCGTTGGTTAAAAGATGCCGCAGCATAATGGACCAGTTGAGGGCGTCTGATGGGGGA